GGAGAAGGATGTCATGCTGGGTAAGATGAAGGGTCAGAGAAAAAGAGGAAGACCCCCAACGAGATGGATCAGCCAGGTGGCATCATTGATGGCATCAAGTGTGGCGGCGGTAGTGAGGTTGACCCAGGATCAGACAATGTTTCGTTCTGCTGTGCATGGGGTCGCTATGAGCTGGTTCCGACTCGATTGCACCTGATAACAACAACAACAATAAGCTCTGGAGACAAGTTTCCAGGGCTTTATCTAAAGAACAATAGTGTCAGCCTTCCGGGATAGCCTTCAGGTGCAAACCATTCAGGCGTCTTGCTTCCTCCTGCAAACCTGGTCCAGGCAGCCGACAAAGCTGGATTCCTTTCAATCCTTTTTTCACCTTCCCCCATTTGAGATTAGGTGCTATAGGTATGTTAATTAGCCTGGAGAAACCGAGTTGCTACCCTGGGATTTGAACCTGAAAAGTACCATATAGTAATTTGCTTGAATTTCTGGAAAATTAAGGATGTTAGATTATCAAGACAATTTGTGATGTATGTTCTAGAATTTGATTCCTATAAATCATTGTGTTCTGTGTTGAACGATTAATCACATTTCACTACTGTACCCCGTCTTAATAAACCCCGCCTTCCTCTGTGTAAAGCTCCTCCCCGAAATAAAACGGAGGCGCAGACCCAAGCTCGCATGCGTTACGGCTTACAGGCCATGCGTTACGGCTGGCATGCGTTACGGCTTGCAGGCCATGCGTTACGGCTGGCATGCGAGGCATTACAGCTGGCAAGGCATGCGTTAAGGTTTGCAGGGCGGTGCTTTACTGCCTGCAGAGGCTACGATGCTGGTAGTCCAAGGTCTGCCCGTCAGTGTTGCATCCACTCTGGTTTCGGGGTGTCTTCTTGTCTCTCTTGTTGCGTCTTTGTGTGTGTTCTTTATCTGTCGCTGTCGCCGCCAGATCTCCCTTCTTCGTGAACTGAACCCCCATGTCGAGGCCAGTTATCGACACACCTTGTTTTCTGACTGTTGTTGTTATGTACCATTAGTTAGCTCTGATTGATAGCAACTCTATACATAGCAGAACAAAACACTGCCATTCTCATAATTGTAATTAGTTTGAGCCCACTGCTACTGCTACTGCATCAATCTGTCTCTTTAAGGGTCTTCCTCTTATCACTGACCCTTTACTAAGCATGATATCCTTCTTCAGGGGCTCTTCCCTCCTGGTAACAAGTCAAAAGTACAAAAGACAAAGTGTCACCATTCTGACTTGTAAGGAGCATTCTGGCTGTATTTCTTCCAAGACAGAATTGTTTGTTCTTCTGGAAGTTCATGGTACTTTCAATATTCATCACCAACACAATTCAAATGCATCCATTTTTCTATGGTCTTCCTTATTCATTGTCCACCTTTCACAGGCATATGAGGGAACTGAAAATACTAGGATTTAGGTCAGGCACACCTTAGTCCTCAAAGTGACATATTTGTTCTTGACTACTTTTAGAGAAGTATTTTGCAGCAGATTTGTTTAATATAATATGTCTTTTGATTTCTTTACTGCTATTTTTGGAGTGTTGATTGTGGATCCAAGCAAATGAAGTCTTTGACAACTTCAACATTTTCTCCATTTTTCATGATGCTATTTATTGGTCCAATTGTGAGGCTTTGTTTTCTTTACATTTAAGTAGATGAAGGTTGAATTCTTTTTATCTTCATTAGTAAGGATTTTAAGTCCTCTTCACTTTCAGCAAGCAAAGTTGGGTGATTTACATATCACAGGCTGTTAATAACCCTTCTTCCAATCCTAATGTCAAGATTTTCTTCATATAATCCATCTTCTTGGATTTACTCAATATACAAATTGAGTAATATGGTGAAAGGATATGACCCTGACACACACTTTTTAAAAATTATAAACCATTCAAGTATCCCCTTGTTCTGCTCAAATAACTGTCTCTTAATCTATGAACAGGTTCCTCATAAGCACAATTAAGTGTTCTGTAGTATCTATTCTTCTCAATGTTATCCATAGTTTGTTATGATCCATATAATGAAATGCCTTTAAACAGTCAATAAAGCACAAGCAAACACTTTTCTGCTATTTTCTGACTTCAGCCAAGGTCCACTGTATGTTGGCAATGATATTCATCATTCTACAACTTCTGAATCCATCTTAAATTTCTGGCAACTCCGTTGATGTACTGCTACAACCATTTTTGGAATTATCTTGAGAAAAATTTTACTTGCATGTGATATTAATGATGTTGTTACATGATTTCCACATTCCATTGAGTTACCTTCTCCTTGGAATGGGCAGAAAAATCGATTTCTTTCAATTGGTTGGGCAGGTAGATATCTTCCAAATTCCTTGGCATAGACTAGAGAATGCCTCCAGCGCTTCTTGTTTGTTGAAACATTTCAATTTGTATTTCATCAATCCCTGGAACCTTGCTTTTTCCAATGCCTTCATTGCACCTTGGACTTTTTCCTTCAGTACAGATGGTTCTTGATCATATGATACCTCTTGACATGCTGTACATTGAACCATTCCTTTGGGTACAGTCGCTGTGTGTATTCTTTCCATCTTCTTCTGATGCTACCAGTGTCATTCAATATTTTTCCCATTTGATGTTGTTGCTAAGTGTTGTTGAGTCACTCATAATGACCCTGTTTAGGGTTTCTGAGGTTTTAAATCTGTGTGTGAGTAGAAACTCTCATCTTTCTCCTGCAGAGTGGCTGGTGGGTTCTAACTACAGACATTGTGGTTTGCAGTTCAGTGCTTACTGTACGGCGCTACCACCATGATCCCATTTTGTCCTAGAATCTTTCAATATTGCAGCCCAAGGCTTGAGTTTTTTCTTCAATTCTTTCAGTTTAAGAAATGTCGAGTGTGTTCTTCCCTTTTGGTTTTCTGACTCCAGGTCTTTGCACATTTCATTATAATACTTGACATTTTTTTCTCAGATGCCCTTTGAATTTTTCTGTTCAGCTTTTTTACTTCCTTTTTCCTTTCAGTCACTTTCATTTCTCCATGCTGAACACCAAGTTTCAGAGTCTCTTCTGACATCCATTTTGTTCCTTTCTTCCCTGTCTTTTTAATGACCTTTTGCTTTCTTCCTGTATGATGTTCTTGACGTCATCCCAGAACTTTTTGGGTGTTCAGTCATTAATATCTAACGCATCAAATCTGTTCTTGAGATGGTCCCTAAATTCAGGAGCAGTATATCCAAGGTCATATTTTGGCTCTTGTAGACTTGTTATAATTTTCCTCAGCTTCAACCTGAACTTTCATATAAACATATGATAGTCTCTTCCACAGTGAACCCCTAGCTTTGTTTTGGCTGATGATACTGAACTTCTCCATCATCTCTTCCCAACAGATGTAGCCAGTTTTATTCCTCTGTATTCTAACTGGTGATGTCCAGATGTATAGTTGCCTTTTATGTTGTTTAAAAAAGGTATTTGCAATGAAAAAGTCATTGGTCTTGCAAAATTTTATCATGAGATCTCCAGCATAATTTCTATCACCAAGGCTGTATTTTCCAACTACTGGTTTCCAACTTCCGCATTCCAATCATCAGTAATCATCAATCATCTTGATTGCATGTTTGATTACTTTCAGATTGTTTTCTGACTGACACGATAATTCCTCTTTTTGCAAACCAGTATCTCTCATGTATATTTATTAAACAAATGTGGCAGAGTAGGATACTCTTCTTTTCCAATAACTATAGCCCACATGTTATAACAGTGGACAGAGCCCCTTCCCTGTTTCTCCTTCAAGGTCATTCCTTTGTTCTAGTAATAAAGATGGATTGGTATGGAGCCCAAAAACAGAAACTTAAATGTTTCTAATAATCAAACCTTTTTTCTTTTTTTTAAGTGGCAAAGGAGAAGACAAAGTCATGTCAACTGAATGGAATCGCTGGGAACATGGCTTTTGTTTAATCAACCTCTGTCAATTTATATCACCAGTGCTGGGTGCTTACACTGTTTATCAGTGACATATTGGTTTGTTTTATCATACCAGTTTTGACTATTAGCTATGAACTAAACTCACCAGTAGAGATGTGCTTTGCCCACTCTGGTTGTGTTTCATCCTCAGTTCTGTGTATAAATACCAGACGTAATTGACAGTGTAGAGAAATGAAGAAATGTAGAATATCTAGGTGAAAATTACAACAACCCATTATCACTATAGAATTTTTTCAACTTATTCCATTATTTTTAACTATGAGAACCCTACCTGCTGGATTATTAGTAATATACTGTCTATTATCCATATCTTGCAAAATGAACCAAGCCAAGTCTGAGAATTCTACAGCATTATCTACCTTCTCTCATCCAAACATTCCACTTTAACAAAGTTATCATAGGATCTCTATTTTATTAATTGAAATGGATTTTAAATTAAATTTTAATTGAATAAGAAATTCCATTTCTAGTCATGATAATCTAGACTATCTGAACCAAATTTTGCATAGAAACATAAAACATAACAAGAACAAAATCTAAATACTCCAGGAATCTAGAATGTGGTAAAGATGGTAACTGGCAGAGAATATTGCCAATAAATATTAAATTATTTGTGGTGATGACTGAAAAAAACTATATAAAATACTTTAAATTCCTAAAAGCATCAAAGACATTACATGATAATAAGGAACCAGCAGGATAAAACATAAAGGAAAGCATTTCTGCTTCCAGCCTTGATGAAATAACAGGAACAAAATTTACCCCTCAGCTTTAAACAGCTAATAAGTAGACAAAAGGCATGAAAATAAATTGTTTTCAAACACTGTAATATAGTAATCATTGAAAGAAAACAAAAAATTAAATGAGCCCATCAAGTGCACCAATTCACAGATAGGAGAAAGTACATGCAGTGAGGTGGAATCCAAACAGACACCAATTGTTTTGGTGAGTTGAGGAGGCAGAATTCTGAGTTTAGGAATGCCAATGCAACTAAAACTTGTGAACTAGCAGAGAAGAAAGAAAGTGATCTAGAAAAACGTAGACGTCCCTTCAGGTCTTTGGCTAAGTATTGATCTATGCATGTTGTGGAGAAAACAACAAAGACAAAAGGAAAGAATTATCAGAAATGAGAAGGTGATATAATCTCCAAAGCCTCCAGGGTCAGGAATAGTTTCTGTTCTCATAGGCAGAGTGAAAAAACTTCCTAAAACACAGGGCATACAGTAGAATCACAAGATGAGTATTGCTTCAGTAATTGGATCAAAGTAAGTGTACATGCAGGTGCATTTACTTTTATTGCAAATATATCCATGTAAGTGGTAGAGCATATAACAGGAAAAGTAATGAAGCCTTCTTAGATCTAACCAAATACCTTGAGGTAATGAATTTCTGGGTCTGGTGGTTCAGGATCATGGTCTAAGGGGATACTAAGGTCAACTGGTATAACAGTACACAAAAACAATGTTTTAAAGCCTACTCTAGTGAGTAGCAAACAGGGTTTTAAAAGCTCATGAGCAGCCATGTAAGGTGCACCTATTGGTAACTCCCTGTTCAGAGGAAAAAAGTGAAGAACATTGAATATGTATGGAAATAATTAGTCCAATGAATCATGCAAACATCAGCCTTGATGACCCTGAGACCAGAAGAACTGCTCTGAAACTGCTCTGAAAAGGATCATATTTAAAAGTCCTGGATAGAGCAGGAGACAAACGTGGAACAAAACTCCAAGTTATGAAAAAAAAGACCGGACTTACCAGTCAAACTTGCTGACACTATGAATTTTCATTATCTTTCATGTCTGCAAATGAACTCACCCCTATGGATCTATTTTTGGCCAAACAATAGGGAGGTCTATTAATGGAACAATAACACTAGAGAGGTACATATACTTTGGAATAATCAACCATTCCAGATAAAAAAAGGCAGTATTTACCCATGGAAAGAGTTCAGAGAGGTTAGAAAAGAAGGACAAATGGAAACGGGAAACATAGGGAGCCAGTGAGATTAAATGATGCTACAATGTGTAATCAATGAAATGAAACAAAATGTGTATGAATTTTTGAATGGAAAAGTGCTCTGCTCTGTAAAACCTTCACCCAATTCACAATAAAAAGGTTTTAAACATTAACTGAACATGAAAACTCTACCCTAATAAAAGCAATCCTTCAGAAATTAAAAAAAAACTTGAAAAGATCAAACAGATTCAGAGTTAACAGTTAATTGCACCCAAGACAAAGTCCCAAATTCAATTTATTTTTTAAATCTAATATTCAATGATATAAAATTTATAATGTATGGCATCTAATAAAATATTATAAGGCAAGACAAAAAAGCAAGAAAACATAACCCATAAACCAGAGAAAAATTAAATGACAGAAATTGACTCATAAATAACACGAATTATAAAAATTAGTAGACAAAGATGATAAAGGAGCTATTACAATAGGAGGGTAAGTTGACTGTGGCAGTCAGAAAACAATCTGAAATTAACATGTAATCAACATGACTGATAATTACTGGTGATTGGAATGTGAAATCTGAAAACAAAAAATTTGAAATAAAAAAGTCAATAGTTGTTAAAAAGCAACAAGGTAGATGTATTCCCGTAGGATTTTGGTCTCAACTGTGGAAAGTGCAGAAACCTGATACAGTCCTTTAGAAAAGCAACTGTGTGCAGTGTATAACAGCTTACAGCTGGTAGAAGACATCAGAAAAGGGGCACCTGTAACAGTTCAAAAGCACTAAACCATACAGGGGCGCGGGGGACAAGGACTTTGCTAAGACCCAATAAGGGGCAGCCCAATCCAGCACACTGGCTAAATGGCATGCATATTAGCAACAGAGAAGTGTCCTCTTGACCAGCCCCTTGATTGCCGAGTTACAGTAGATTCTTGGACTGATCACCTATGTCACTGATGGGAAGGCACTAGCTACCCACAACAGAAGCACCTCCACAGGAGAATCACATATGAGAAGGCAATGGGCAAATTCCTAAGGAAGCCTGGTACACGTATGGCTCAGTTTGAAGTAACTCCCTACAATGGACTGTAGTGGCCATACAGTCACAGTAGGTATATGGATTGACCAGGGCATGGGGCAGAGTAGCCAGTTGGCTGAGTTGAGGGTTGCTTAGATGGTATTCATGCATGAGTCCAATAACACAGTCCTGTGCAGGGACAGATGGGCAGTATATAAAGGACTACATGGCTAACCCAGTGGAAAGAACAAGACTGGACAGTTAACCAGTGACCTATCTGGAGAATGGAGCTGTGGGAGGGTATTTTGGCCTGGCAATATGGCATGGACATTGTTTTTTTTTCATGTTTTAGTTCATAGACTAATTACTCCACCAGGGAATGCTCAAGCTGACAAGCTGGCCTGGCTACATGCAATATAGCAAGCACTGGGAGAACAAGTGACTGAGTGGCTACACCAAAAAACAGAGCATGAGCAAGGTCCAGGAATTGGCAGACAGCCTGGGCATTGTATGGCATTTTCAACACCCACACAACCCCACAGAAGCCAGACTGATATAGTGAATGGATGGAATCCTGAAACAAACCCTGTGGCAGGAAATACTTGTTACAATAATGGTCACAGAGACTACAAGAATCTCTGCAATTTATCAGTGAATATCAAAGTCAGACTTGGCCCAAAGTCAATCAATGCTCATATAGAGACCCCGGAAAGTCATTAGAATATAAATATCTGCAGCAAGTGACTGCCCCTTGCTGGTGCCTGGAGACTCTCATAATCTTCTCTTGCTGTTGTCTCAGGATCTAGTCCCAAATTAGTCAGTTGTGGTCCTTTCCTGGCTATGCCAAACAGGTTCCCATTGGTTTGGTTTTATGGCCTACTGATTAGAAGAGATCCATATTTGGCCCATTCCAAAGTGAGATGACACAACGGATGTGGAAATCATCACATAGTATCATTAATATCACATTTAAGTAAAATTTTTCTAAAGATAATTTTTAAATGTATGCAATGACAGGAAACTACTAGAGTTTCAAGAAGGATTTAGACGAGCACATGCAATGAGGGGTATCAGTCAGATAGACCTTGACTGAAAGCAGAGAATACCAGAAAGATTCTTACTGTGCTTTACTGACTACGCAAAGACTTTTGACTATGTGAATTAGGGCAAGATATAGACAACATTGCAGAGAAAGAATATCCTGGAACACTTAATTGTGCTAATGAGGGATCTGTACATAGACCAAGAGGCAGTTGTTCAAACTGAACAAGGGAACACAGAGTGATTTAAAAATTAGGAAGTGTGTGTGCCAAGGTTGTATTCTTTCAACGTACTTAATTCATCTGTATGCTGAACAAATAATTCAAGAAGCTGGATTATATGAAGAAGAACGTGGCACTAGGATTGGAGAAGGACTCATTAACAACCTAAAATATGCAGGTGATACAAGCTTGCTTGCTGAAAGCAAAGAGGACTTAAAATACTTATTGATGAAGATCAAAGACCATAGCCTTCAGTATGGGTTGCACCTCAATGTAAAAGAAAACAAAAATCCTCACCACTGGAACTATAAATAATATGATGATAAATGGAGAAAAACATTGAAGTTTTCAAAGACTTCATTTTTCTTGGATCTACCATCAACACTCATGGAAGCTGCAGTCAAGAAATCAAATGATATATTGCATTAGACAAATCTGCTGCACAAGACATCTCTCAAGTGTTCAAAAACAAAGGTATCAGTTATCAGTTTGAGGACTAAGTTGTGCCTAACCCAAGCCAAAGTCTTTTTTTTTTTTAAGTTTTTGTTGTGAATTATGTGATAGTTTACAGGGGGGAACATTAGCTTTACATTCATCTTATCATATTTCATTTCACTGCGATGATTACAATCCCCTCCATGCATCATCAAACAACCAAAGAGTACACCCCGCAAGCCTGCCCCTAGCCGTCAGCACAAAGATCCTCTCCATCCCTGAGTCCAGAGTCCCCAGCTGCTCCATTTCTCCCCGTCATTGTCTTTGCCTCCATCTCTGGCATCACTGCTTCTCTTCTTATTTGATGGTCTCAGGGACCTCTGCTCCTGGGCTGCAAAATCAACTACTCCCCTCCTTTTGTTACAGAACATCTATCTTTATACTTCCAACACACACAGTCAGTCCTGATAGCAATTATTCACTATTGAACCACAAGAGTCTTATCCCCATCCTTTCATCAGCCCCGTCCAGTTTGGAAACCACTCAGTGGAGCTTCTACCTTCCCCTGCTCCCCCTGTAACTAGGATCTAGTTTGTTTTCTGATCTCCCCCTCTTGAAAGCTTGTAAGCTAGTCACTTCTTACCTTTGTAGCCCCCACCCCCATTTTGGGTAGCCAATGACTAAGTTGCCCATCTGTGTCAACCCCGTGTACAGAGGGGGTGGGAATGATCCTTGCTGTAAAGATTTGTTCCCTCTTTTGAGCTACTACATCCATAAGTATAGGTCAAATTCATCAAACTGTAGCATATTACTCTTTTTTTTCCCTCTTTTTTCTTCTTCTATTCGAGTTCTGATCATCCAGTCATTGAATCCAGGTCAAGTGGGTACTATCTGCAAATATGGGTTTTCTTGTGCATCTCCCCTCACTTCATATCAGCTGGGCGCTTCACTTTCTGCTCTAGCCCTCTGTGGCCATGTCACTGTCTCATTGCCCAGGAGTCCCCAGGTCTTGCCATACTGCTGGCCAACCAGGTCTCAACCAGGGTTAACAGGAGTCTATTGAACGTGGTCGAACTTCATTGCTGTTTTCCCCCCACTTCCCCTTATCGGTGACCAACGTGGTCACCAGCAAGTCCACATACCTGCTCATGAATTCCCATTGAATCTTAGTCTTGGAAGGGGGTTTGCCCTGAAGAGACCTGACCACTTGCCTCAATGGTTCCTGGGCAGACAACCTGCCAAGCCAACGTCTTTTAAATAGACTCATGTGCATGTGAAAATTGAACAATGAATGAGAAAGAGCATAGAATAATTGATGCATTTGAGTTATGGTGTTGGAGAAGAAAAACAAGTATGTGTTGGAGGAAGTATAACTAGAATGTTCCTTAGAAGCAAAGATGGCCAAACTTCATCTCTCATACTTCAGATATATTATCAGGAGGGACCAGTCCCTGGATAAGGACATTATGCTTGGTAAAGTGGAGGGTTACTGAAAAAGAGGGAGACCCCCAAGGAGATGGATTGGCACAATGGCAGCAGCAATGGCTCAAAAGTAGCAGCAATTGTGAGGATGGCGCAGGACCGGACAGTGATTCGTTATTGTACATAGGGCTGCTATGGGTTGGAACCAATTCTACAGCACTTAATAACAACAACAATAATGGGGAATCGAACTAGATGTAGGCATACAAATGTCAACTTGGCTCCATTCTATAGCACCAAAAACCTTGCATTTATGTTGGTACCTCTCACATCTTTGTCCATTCTTTGAGTATACAGTAATGTTTTTGCCAGTTGGGCCACCATGACTGCAGACACGAGGAATCAGTCAGACTGCTGGGTGTGTGGAAAATTCCCTGTCTCCTCCAGCACCTGCATGACACCTGCCAACCCTAGCATCTGGGCCTGTTTGACAGAGTGGTACAAATGATTTGAAGATCCACTTTCCAATGTTTTCAGTTAAGTGTTTTGTGAAACTTCTGTCCAAGGGCTATACCTGCTCCCAGATGTCTGTCTGATGTGGGAGCAAGTTAAGGTTACACATCCTCAGGGTTATGCTATATGGGAGGGCCTGGGGTGGATGTCAGCAATATACATCCTATTGAACTATCAGGCCCCATGGTGTATAGAGAAGTCCCTGAAAATAACAGCTATAATATTGGTTTGCTCTAACAACAAGCATGCCACCAGGTCACTCCTCTTGGTGGCTGGGAGCACAGGTTCACACTAAAGTTGGAGCCTTCTTCTCACCCTACGGCTAGCTCTGGGCATGTGGTTCTTGTGCATGGCCCTACCTACAATTGGACAGCCAGATGCAAGTGGGGACAGCCCTATATCCTTAGACTATTTATAAATGCCTGCCCATTAAACCCAGTAACTGGGACAAAGTGTATGGTCAATACCATCGGGACAAACACACCTCCTGGTGCTTTTATACCCTTGTAGCCTTGGTTCCTGGGGCTGCATCTATTGATGTGGAATGGCAAGTTGAGGAGCTGGCAAAGCATACAGCCATGGCATTAAATGAAACCCACCATGCTCTCATCTTGTTGTCAACTGAGACAGAACAGATGCATATGGTAGTGTTACAGAACTGCATGGCTCTGGACATTCTCACAGCTGCCCAAGGAGGCACCTGCACTCTTGTTCATACTGAATGATGTGTATTACCTGATTATCACCACATTTCTATAGTTCTGCAACAAATGCAGAAAAACATTTCTATTATCCAACAGTTACTGGCAGACCTGTTTTCTAACTGGCTTGACTCTTTGCCCTCAACATGGTGATACCATCTTCTACCATAGGGCTCTTGTGACTGGGAATAGTGCTTTGTTGTAATATATATTGCTTCTGTGGTCTTTGGTTAAAATTCTCTAGTGCCCAGGAATGAGGGATTGTGCGGAAGGCTGGTGGTAAAGGCTGGTTGGGGCACTGGGGTGGAGTGTAGGGACAAGAGCTGAACACTCCAAAATGGCCATATTGATATCAACCCAGGAGAAGCGTCTTTTTCACTCCTTCTCTTTCCCTCTCCCCTCCAGCATATATCCCTGACTTTGCATATCAGATTCTGTATTCCCACAGTTTATTCACTTATCTACTAAGGAGTAGCAAGTAATGGGAGCCAGGCTGTTTTTCTGTTTTTCCTTGAGTCACAACTGCAGATAGGACTCTCCTCATACAACCAACCTCCTCCCTCTCTGAAGGGAAGATGAGGCTTGTTTACCACCTAATATAAAAAGAGGCCCTCAAGCTCCCTCTGGTGGAGAAAATCTTGAATGTCTAGCCATTGGAGACAGCATTGTCCCATCCTGGGCAGCAACTTTCCCTGTCAACAAAACCATTTCTCTTTTATGCTCTTTTCTGTAATAAACTAATGCCTCTCAGATTGGTTCCTGGTCATATTTTCTGGTCTTTTGGCACCTATGCACACAGAAGGCTTTCCCCTTCTTGGCCTAAACCCCAACTGCAATTAATTGGGAGAGTTAGACTTACTGACCCACAGAGCTAGAGTCAAGTGCCTTCAGACTGAGACTTACGATGAGTGTTATGTCCTGTGGCAGAGAGGCCTGTCTATGAGCATGGCTAAGGAGAGACTATCCTGACTTGAATAACTGTGCCCTAAACATTCTGATCCTGAATTTTAACCTGTGCACGTCCCTAAAAAACCACATAACTGTGAGTATGGTGTCTGAGTTCTGAGTGGTCACTGCAATGAATTATTGAAAACAGCTGAGTAGAGTGTTGTTAGTGGAATGGTTGATGCCACCAAAGTTTTACAACTGTGGATTACAGTAAAATAAAAAACCTTGACAAACAACTTCAATATTTTCTGCATTTATCATGTTACTAAATGGTCCAGTTGTGAGGATTTTTGTTTACTTTATGTTTAGGTATAATCCTGCTGAAGGCTGTAGTCTTTGATCTTCATGAGTAAGTGCTTTACTTTTTTGTTGTTGTTGTTCAGTAAGCAAGGTTACATTATCTGTGGTAATGTAGAGAGTCATCAAAAAAGAGGAAGACCCTCAATGAGATGGGCTTACACAGTGGTTGCAACGACGGGCTCAAACAGCAACAATTGTAAGTACAGCGCAGTATCAAGTAGTGATCCGTTCTGTTGTACATATGATTTCTGTGAGTCAGAACCAACTAAACAGCACCTAATAATGACACTGCCATCTAAACAGATGCCAGCTATCAATCAGCAAAGACTTTTGAGCTCCTATTATTTATGAACCATTAGAAGACCCTAAACACCACAAGAATAATGTTACATAAACCTCCAGCCACTATAAAATTTAAGCCCTAGAGTTAGGCAGGCCAAGTCCAAGAGCTTGGAGGCACAACAAGAAAATAGTAACAAACAAAGATATGGAATCTAATCTTGGATAAGAAAATATTTTTGATAGACCCACTCTGAGGACTGATACAGAAGAAAGGAAAAGAACCATATAACTGTTGTGAAAACCCCTGATAATTGCAAATATCCATTGTTGTAAAGTGCCGTCGAGTCAATTCAACTCATAGTGACCCTGTACAGACTGGAAAATTTTTGTTTGCAATGACATATCAGACATGGGGCTAATATTTTAAATTTATAGAAAACTACAACACCTCTATAAGAAAAAGACAAACAACTCAATTTAAAAATGGGCACAGGACATGAACAGACACTTCATCAAGGAAGACATCCAGACAGCCAATAAATAGATGAAGAAATGTTCACGATCATTAGCCACTGTTAAGTGCCGGCAAGTCAGTTCCAACTCATAGTAACCCTATATTAAGGTTTACAAGGAGCAGCTAGTGAATTTGAACTGCTGACCTGTGGTTCAAACTGACCCTGTGGTGCTTTATCCCACAGTGCCACACCAGGACATTCATTAGCCACTAGAGAGATGCAAATCAGAACAAGAAGATATCATCTCACACCAGCATTAACACTGAAGTTAAAAAACAAACAAACCAGAAAACAACAAATGCTGGCAAGAGTGTGAAGAGACTGGGACCTTCCTACACAGCTGGTGGGTCTGTAAAATTGTTCAACCACTCTGGAGAACCATTTGGTGATTCCTCAGAAACTTGGAAATAGAAATACCTTATGACCCAGCAATCCCTCTACTTAGTATATATCAAAAAAACATACAAGCCAGGACATGAGAAAACATATTCACCCCAATGTTCACTGCAGCACTATTCACAATAGCAAAAAAATAGAGACTGCTTAAGTGCCCAACAATGTAAGAATGGATAAACAAATTTTGGTATATACACACAGTTGAATACTATGTAACATTGAAGAATATCGATGAATCTGTGAAACACCTCATAACTTGGGCGAACCTAGAGGACATCATGCTGAGTGAAATTAGCCAATCACAAAAGGACAACTATTGTATGACACCATTATTGCAAAAGTTTAGGAAAAGGTTTACGACTAAAAGAATCATTCTTTAATAGATACAAGGGGTGGGAGAGAGGGGAGAGTAATTCATTAGCTAGAGGGTGCCAGGGAGGACAATATACAAAAAAATAAAAAATAAATTAACTTTGATTCTATAAAGCAGATTCCTGGCTTTGCTATCAAGTTACATAGGCCAATAACAATGGGATGACTAGAAGATGAAGAAAGATTAGACTGAAAAAAGTGACTCTACCTGTTTATACCTGGTGACAGGTGGAAAACCATCTTTAAGCCATACTTAGAAAAGTTTCTGTGTTCACTAAAATCCCAATTTAAAAAAAAATTCAAAGACAAGAAAGGCCTCCCAAAATTATGAAGGCCATCAATGAAAAAATAGGAACAAATGTGAGGGCTCTAATTCAGGAAATACACAGACTACCAAACATTTTGAAAACTACACAAACAAAAGTAGATAAAATAGATGACTGGGACATACTAAAAATTTTAAAACTTATGTGCAGAGGCGGAGCTTGATGGTGGCTAGGGTGGAGGTTCAGTGAGGTTTGCCGTCAGCCATACCACAGAATACCAGGCAAAGCAGATCCAGGGCAGAGTCCAAAACTAGGAACCACAGAGATAGGAATATTTTTAAAGTTTGAAGGCTTATAGCTACTGGAACTTGAAGATGAAGTAAGAAACTGCATACTTTTGAATCTACCGGGCTTAAAGGCCCGGAGCCGACATCTTGGGCAAGACCAAGCAGGGGAGCAGAAACACCACGGGAAAATGCTGCGAGAACCTTGGAGCAAAGTTGGACAATATGCTTTGTCAGTTTTGCTTTGTTCTGATTTTTT